AAAGATACATGTAAATTACATTGTACATAACTGATGATAATTATTTAAAATTCAGATATATTACAGCTCCACTATTACAATATCAATAAAAAATATATTATAATTTGTTAAGTTGGCTTTAATTTTGTTAGTGCATTTTCTATCAATTATATCAACATGTTCGGTGTTTTGGTTCTAAAACTTAACTTATAAGTTTGTATTATAATAATGGAACATTTAATTACAATCACGATAGAATGAATCTTTGTTGAAAGTAAAACGTTTAGATACATCACTATTTTAACAATCTTTGATAACATTTTTTACTAATTTTACATTACTAAAATACTATAATTAACGTATCCATTTTAAAATTCAACATAAAATACGCATTTTAAACTCTAACTTAATAATTTTTTTCTCAAACATTTTGATACAAAGAGTAACTCACCAGCACGAAGAAGAGTTTCCTAAGATCCATGGTGAACTGATTTGACGTTTGTGGTCGGTTACTGGTTTATATATAAAGGGTTGCGATGTACAGGGAAAGTTGGGACTTTCGGTTTCAACAGACCCTGCGGCCAACCTAGGCTCTTAAACGTAACAAAATGTAAATTGTTTAAAAATTATGAAAATAATCTAGCTATGTTGATAATGTAGCAATTAAGTAGAATTTCAGCATAGACAGTCGTATACTCCTACCTTGATTGGACTCATGTTGTACTGGGTGACTGATCGAAATCGATTACATGAAATTTGTTTTGAATTTGTTTATCGTCTGTTAAATATTTACAGTATAAGACTTATACATGGTATCCCTAAGTAAGTACAAATACTAAGGAGGTACAAATGTACAAAGGTAGGTTCAAAAAGGAGGTACCTACCTTGGTTTTGAAATTGCAGCGATTTTTATTTGTATAACTTAAATCACTAAAAATTGACAGATTTTATATATACAAGTCTTGTACACTTTTATTTAGGGTTTAACATCTTCTATCAAGCAACACCAAGTTCAAAACGATCGAATAATAAATAGCTGAAAAATAACGAGTCTTTGTACAGGCGAGGCAAAATAAGGCCAACTTCTTAGGGCAAGCGTCATTTTGCACCTAAAAATATAAAAATTAATGTATACGACCTCCATTTTGAAACCAAACAAATCGTATGTTATTTTTTGCACATAACTTACTGAAAGTAAATTATTTTACTTTAGTCATTCACCTATTGGGTTCGATGATGATTGGAGTGTCCAATAGAAATCGATCACCACTTACCATCTTTCATGTATATTTACCGTCTTGTGAGTAAAACAGTTTAAGCGTAAACATATGTTTTAAGTGTTATAAGCTCATATTATACCTCAAAGCTGAGTAAATATGATCATGATGGTAGGCCATGTGGAAAATGTTACATACAATTGGTTATAAGAATAAATACTGCTAGTATAATCTCGGACTTCAAAAGTACTATAAATTCTAAAATATCATCAAACGGTTTTAATTAGATTTCTATGTTATTAGTTTTCAAATATGTAAGGCCTTCACAATGGTACTCCCAGCATTTGAAGCAAGCAGTTTAAATATCTGTTGTCTGTATATTTAATTGCGTATGTGATTCATCCCTAACAAAAAACTGATCTGGAAATGAGATAGGATAGTTAAACCATTAAAAAATTTAAGTAAAAAGCGTTGGTTAAACTTGTTTTAAGTGTCAACTAAATTTTATAACCCCGATAGCATTAAATATATCAATCGTTGTTTAACGGAAATGAGTGTTAACAGTTTTGTAAAAAAAAAAACTTGTATACATTGATTTAATAACAGCTAAGTCTGATGTAAAGACAAACTTTTCTACTGCAATTTTTTTGCTGTCCGTTTATAGGCTGATAACAATATTGTTATTTTATGATGTATAGCTATATGAACAATCTGTATTTTCACACACAGACAATAATTCGCAGACAAATCGCACTACATAAATTAGGCCATAGTTTACTTATCTCTGGCATTTTTCTTTCTTTCACGACTAACCTTTGAACTTTACGTAACAAACAGATGCGCATTCATTTGAAACATCAAAGTTTTGTGAATGTTACTCCACCCTTTTTTAGACTCTAGACCTGTAGTTCCAACTAGCTTTATCTGTCACTAAATTAGTTAATGTTGAACAAACTAATTGCGATTGTTAACCAGGGTGATAATGTTAATAACAGAAACAAGAATATACTTAACTCAGGGGTCGGCCTACATACCAACCATTGTTATACTTGTTGATGGTCTAATACGAATTACTGTATTTGTCTGGGTAAATATATATGCACTGAAGCTGAAACTTGAATTTCTCTGAGACAAATAATATGATCACAATACAAATATAATACAATTGTAGCTTTATCATACTCCAGCAAAAACCGCTGTTTTCAATATATGCGTCTAAAGTACTGCAGCTGTTTTTCTTACTAGGGATTAAATAGTTATTAGTTGCGCAAAGTGGCATTTTTTTGCACTTGAGAGAAATGTTTACGCACGAGCCGTAGGTGAGTTTCTCGAGTGCAGCAAAGTTACTTTGCACCTGTGTTCCGCATTGTGTTTTTCCTACAGTTACAGTTACTAAAGAATATATATACTTCATAAATCTTTAATCATAATAGGTATTGTAGCATCATTAGGTATCATAATAGTTTATCATAATAGGTAATTGTATGCAGGTGAACCTTTACCATGCCGTCCTCAAATTAACAAATTAACCTCTACTTCAAATTCCATTATATATAGAAATACCGTATTATTAGGTTGGATAAGATCATCTTTTTCTACACCTCTGCCACATCTTTAAAACGAGCTATTTAAAAATGAATAGAATAGCCACGCAATATTTTTAACAAGAACTTTCATTGGTGAAAGTTTTAGTAGTCTATTTGCGTACGTCTACAGTCTACGTTCTTGACAAGGGAAGAATTCGCCCATGGAGAAATATCTCGACACACAGAGCAAACCGGACACGACAATGTTGCAACCTATATTTACTCTGGCAAACTTAGTGGGGTCATTACATTCAACGAACAATTTAACAGATTTAAATGTAAATATGTTTTTAGTTTGGTTTTATGTTTGTTTTATTGATAGATTTGAGATTTAGTGTTCCTAGGTCTTGGTGAGTGGACTGCTCTAGTAGTAGAGCGCGGGTCTTTGGAGCCTGAGGTCGCGGGCCACCAATTACCAATGGATTATACACATGTGATAATGCCACAACCCTCTAGGACTTTCCTGAAGTAATGTGTAAAACAGTTCCGGTTAAACAACTAACCCCAAAAACATTGAAATTTGATTATGCAAGACTTAAAATACATTCACAATAAATACAATAATATCAACTCTCATTTTGTTTAGTAATGAAGTTCGTCAATCTGATCTCGAGACAACAATGAGGATAAAAATAACGTTACCTTCAACAGTTCCTCATACTTGGAACGTAGAAGGTAACATTATTTTTTATTAATAGTTGACGTTCCAGTAGTAGGAAATGAACAATAAATGGTATCAGCAATCTGACACACAGACCTACTTTCTCCCATTAGATTGTCAACAACCTTTATCATGGGTAAGCGGTGGGATATTTTTTTTTAAGGAAAATCACATAAGTTGCATTAACTTTTGAACCGTAACTTTTACGGAAATGGGATTTGTACAATTTTGTTTGGAATTTAATAGACCATAAAATACTAATTTTAATCGAAACACGTTTTTTCTAAAATCCAATTTTTTGTTATTGTATGGTTTTTTTATGGGAGAACAACATAAGTTACAATAACTTTTGAACCGAAATTGTTATGGAAATGTGATTTGTATTAGTTTGTTCAGAAATTAAAGGGCTAGAGCATATTAAATTATTATCAAAATCGTACGGGCCATTTTCAAGAAAATCCGTTTTCCGGTAATCTTATGGGTTTTATGGGAAATCACCATTAAAAGTTAAAATTTCAAAATAATGAAAAAACGTCTGGATATACGATGGGTTAGTACCTACATACCAAATTTCGTCAAAATCGGACTACAGATGTAGTCTGAGTAGCTCTCTACTCATCCACACATAAAGACACACCCACACATCACTTTGAAAACTATTTTTTTAGGCCCAAACATATAGGCCCTATATCCACTTAAAACTTAAACTCGAAAATGATGACAATACATTACTTTCTCAAAAACCTTTCTGTTAACTTCGACTGTACGTAAGCTATGCGGTGATCTGTGGGCTATGAACATTGACTATTGGAGTTGTATCAATAGTCAAAACTGTAGGTCACATGGGAAGCAAGTGATAGTGATAAGTGATAGTACGTACATGCAGCCTCTAAACAACTATTTCCGCCTTATCACTCCAAGCAGCTTACCAATGACCTAGGTTCACTGTAAACTTCTCTTACTACATCGAATATTTTTGACACTTTTCTGTTATACCAACCACACAGGATTAGGTAATCAAACATTTTAAGTGAAAGTAAATGCATATTTTTATGTAAAAATAGCCTAACCTAACCTGGTGTGGTCGGTGTAACAGAAAAGTGCCATATTTTCCCCCAACCCCTATTTCTGAATGCGAATACAATTTTAGTTCACAGTCATTACTAGTGCATTAAAAGTTTTCTTCCCGAAAAGTTTGCGAAATGACCAACTCTGTTCTTTAACACAGGAGTTTTTAACATCGAAGTGGAAAAAAAATTGTGTTGGAACCTTTCTGGAAACCTCAAGAACATAAATCGTAAAATGTCTAAACAAGACATAAAGAACGTGAATTGCCAAATGCAACTATAAATCTAGTTTTATGATCTCTTTTTCTACATCTACAGAACTAAAAACTACAACGAAGACTTGCTGCCATGAAAGAAAGTTGTAAAAATGGATTTCCCAAACAATTAGGCTAGTTGATTTCATAACCAGTCATCGTTTGGTCATAATTTAATTGCAAATTTGCGTAAACAATTCTACGGATTTTATAATCTGCAGTTCATGACCCTAGACAGATGACCAAAGCAGACTCTAGCATTGAATGTTTCATGCTACACACTAGTTTGATTGTTTTGGTTAAGCGTTTAACATCTCCAGCAATATGTTTAGATTTATGGTAAGTTTTTAGAAAATCCTTTGCTTGGTACTAGAGTGTAGATATTAATTTACATGTGTTTTTTATGTGAGTTTTTATTTTAAACTGTTAAAATAATTTATTTTCATGATCCAACAATGAGAGGTAGTTTGAAAAGTGATGATATGAATTTAAATTTTGGATTATGTAAAATCAAAGAATATAAACATAATCAAATTATCTTCTGATGAAAACTATTTAAAATTTAAATTTGTTGCTAATTATGAAACAAGCAAGTTGGATATTTGTTTCATCATAAAAACATGTAAATTTAGAGCTTTATACACACTATTTATGTACAGTGCAGTACATAAAAATTGTTTTATTTATGAAGAGTGTATAGTTAGGAAGTTAACCTAAGAATAAATGAATCCAGATAGTTCTCTTTGACTATTCTTGCTAGCCGAAAAATTGATACATTAGTTAGCTGTGCAAACTCAGCCATACCAAATCAAATGACTCAAAAAGGAATCAAACATAATTTGATAGTAGCATTTTAAAATATCATTTTATGAAGTTGTATACAATTTTGATAGTTAACTTCCAAATTATTTTGTATGGAAGTTCAATTCTTCTTTTCTTAAGTTAAATATATCGTTATTAAGTTATTATCGTGGGTTTCTAAAAAATAACTTTTTAGTTTTAAAATTTATTTATCTATTGTACAGTATACAAATTACAATGACTCGTAAAATGAAAGGTAATAAAATAAAAGTTTTTTTAACACTAGTACACCTCGATGTGCCAATCATTTGTAGCACTGCAGTGCAGATATAGAAGCAATTGTTACTCATTCTTATCATGATTTTATATATTTTTCATTATTATTTATTACCAAAACTAAGCCTAAGGTCAAACGGGTATACCAAACTTATTGCTAACGTACAAAACTAAAACTTGCAACTATATTCTATAGCACCAAAGCATTATTATTACTCATTTTTTCAAACTAATACTATCGTGAGATATTTTTAAAACTAGGGAGTTTTTTTTAGGAGACTCGGTATCAGTGATACGTACCTAACTAAAAGTAAAATTAAACACCCTGTATAGGATACATTACTAATATTCTGAATGAATATTCATAGTATACAAATTTAGTAGTTAGTAATCTTAATGATGATTCATCAAATAATTATAAACTATTTGAAAAAATAATCTTGATAAAATAATATTATACATAATTTCATCTTTGAGCTTAGTTTAACTTTTTTTCACTACTACTGGAGGTCTTGAAAAAATCATAAACAAAATACTACACACATTACACTCTAAGTCTGTACTAAAAGTTGTCAAGAATCTTACTTACCTTATTTTAACTAATGAATTATACAATTTTTTGTTTTGTTCATGTGTTTATCGTTCAGTTGTGCATACACTGCAACACCAATCAAAATCAAATAATTATTGTTGAAATAAATAAATAATAAGATTGTTAGAACATTTTATAGTGCCATTAGAAAATGCATAACATATTCTTAGAGCATTACACATGATTATTGCCACATAATACTCCGATTGATGATGAAAGTTTAACCATAATATTCTAATTTCCTTTTCTTAGAAGTATGTTTATCATGAGTTTCTCACTGCATGTTGTTTGTTTGATGTTGTAAGGGTCAAGGTTGCAGCTGACTTTGCTGATTAAATGTTGGATCATACTAGTTTGGCTAAAAATGGTCAAGTTAGCAAATACAGTATAGCTTTAAAACGATAAATAAGAATAAGAATAAGAATATATTTATTTCCAAAATTACAAACTACACAAATTACAATCGTGGCTGTAAAGCAAAGTACAAAGGAAAAAAATCCCCACAAAGACTGTACATCTGCGTGTGGGGAGAGTCTTCTCCGTCGCTCACCACTTCACAGACAAGATAACAAAATAAACAAATAATTATTTAAATAAAAAGAAGTATTTTTTTTTTGCCATATTGTTGGCAAAAAAGACTGAACATGAACAATATTTGAAGTACTTGAATGAGGGTGCCAGCACTGAAGTAGTTTGGTTTATTAGCCTAATTTAGTTTTAGAATCGTCATCGACTTTCATTATGCCATGTACTGGGATCTGATGAGCTCTTCGGCAGCAGCATCATCGCTCAGACCGAGAAGCCAGCGCCCGATCTTTCTGCTGATAAACTCTTTCATTAGACCAAGTTTAGTGCTGCACCACCTCAATTCCTTGTAAAACTTTCCTAAATGTTTCAGTTTTATGGAGTTTAGCTAATTTTTAAATGCAAATAAGCAATGAAATTTATGGATTGGATGTGTATCTATATATTTTCAGACCTAATTTGTTGCACACTGTATCATATTAGGGTTTTCCATAAACAATGTTTAGTGTTAATTCTTATCAACTTGTGTGTACAGTTTCCTTTTACTAAGCTTCTATTACTCATCAGTCTCAGAAATAAGTGCTTTTGTCTGCTCTACATTCAAAAATTTAAATATTTGATATATGATACAAGTATACACAATAAGTAAAAAAGATGCCTTCAAGTGATTACACTGGTAGTTTTGTTCTTAATGTGTCAACTTACATATTAATTTAAGATTCTTGGATTGCTGTTATTGTTCATAAAATGTTTGGTATTTATTGATATTTTGCTGACTTTTTTACTAAACAAGTGAAAGGTTGTAAGAAAACATCATCTATAGTAAAACTAGACTCTCCATTAAAGTTAGTAAAGTTAAATTTATATCCAGTTTCAGAATGAAAATTAATCGAGCTACCAAACAGAGTGTGCTATTTAAATTCTGGTAAACACACTAAAAAAATGTATTTTTTAATAACAATGAGACCTGTGCATAAATTGTGCGTTTTAATAGATTACGTCTCTTGGTTTACCATCCTGACTGTGCCTGGAGGCGTAAGGGGGTTTAGGTTTGTCGGGAACGCAACAAACAGGAAAATTCTCCCACAAGGAAGGCAGAGATCGAGGAGGCACAAAAAGCTCTCAGGCCCATTGCGTTTGGTTACATGCAAACTTTTTATCCTTTTTATACTTTTATACTTTTCAATGTAATGGCGACCATACAAAGTAGGTATTTTAAGCCAAGTATGAAACAAGATATGTGTAGGATGAGTGGCGCGATCTTGTAGTCTTGTTAGTGACTAAGGCCGACATATTCCTTTGACACAGCTGTTAATTAATAGCCCATTCAGCTAATGGCAACCAAGCGAATGCAACTGTATGCCTGGACCAAAATGAAATTACCTCTCTAGTCACAATTTGTTCCTCCGCTTTATTAAAAGCTTTAAAATGATACCTAAATAATAAATATTTGTTCAGGAGGACAAATTAATACCCCCGCCGCAGCAAACCTGCAGACTAAGCGAATTTCCATTTGCCTGATTGGATTTACACTAAAATGTCTACTTAAAAATTTAACATTTATTTCCCATTTAAATAGAATTAGTTTAACAGTTACTTAGGTTTGCTGCATCAGGGAGGGTAAAACAGTTTTTTTTGTAGAATGTTAATAGTTAGTAAGAAATACAAATATTTTCCAAATCTGATTAAAATATGTTCATAAACAAGCAAACTACAACAGTTTACTTGTTCTCCATAAGAATAACATGGGAATTTAAAATTTAAATTTTGTTCTCCGTAACCATTAGGCGCATAGTAACACTTCAATATACTAAATTATTTGTTTTTTAAGCTCTACAAAATGGTTTGGAAAGAAATTGCTAAATTTTATGTTTTTTGGGTCAAAAATGGGAAAAACCTATTTTTACCCCATAAAACCCCCCGTAAACCCCCGTTCCCATTGTCCGATCATGCTGGTTCGCGAACTCGTTCAAGTTTATCCCGCCTTACACACCAAATTTGATCAAAATCGGACAAAAATTACTCAATTTATCGTGCGGATGGATACATATATATCCATATATAGATATATAAAAATTTGAACCAATGGTGTTTTTGGCCTCTGGGGACATCAAAATGAAAAAGTAAATCGGTCCCGGGCCTAGGTCTTACCATGAGACCTACGGTAATAGCTACTTCCCTATAGGAAAATTCGCTAAAAAGGGATGTTTCAGATGAAACCCTTATTGCACTAAGGATATAGATATTTTGGCTACAGCTTGTCCATTTAGAAAAAAACGTTTAATACAATACGCAAAAGTCAATGGCATCACTCAATCCCAATTCAGCTTTGACCTCTATTTCAGATTGGTACTCTCTTGGTAACGTTCACACTTGGAGCACCTCAGTTTGATGATGGTCGTGTCCTGATCCTTGAAAGAGAAAGGTACACTCCAGACGCTCCATTGGGGTGGTCTGAGGAGGAGACAACTACTAAACTGAACCTGGAGGACGTAGCATCGTGGAGCGCCTCCACAGAAGTGGAAGACGAGAACCATGCTTGGTTCCGCAGAAGGAGATCTGCAGAGTCAAGGGTGGATGCTGCGGAAGATGTGAAAGATGCTGCTGATGACTTGGAAGCAGCAGAATCTGTAAGTAAATAATTTGTATTTGCACAAAAACTATGTTTTTTTTTACTTTTTGGGCATACAGATTAATATATACCTACTAGTACACCTGTTGCTCGAATTCGAGCAATTCCAAAGTATTACAGAAAATATATCAAAACGAATAACAGTCATAGTTTCCGATGACTTAAAAGAGTCAACTCAAAGATAATGTAATCAACCACTCCACTCCAGTTATAAAAACTGAAAACTAACTCACTCTGTTCTTGAACGCTCCTGTATGTATTATGTGTTTACCAGCTGTAATTAATACAAATTATTTGTGTGTTTAAGTAAACATAATCTTTTCATCATAAGAAATACATTGGGATTTTGATGGCCTGTGGGGCAAAGCCCGAACACCTTTATTACAGGAATTGGTGAAAAGGGGCCAATGTCTACACAAAAAATACTTAATTTTGACACATCTTTTGTAAAAATCCGTCCATTATTAACGGAGGAGTAGTGTTTCGTAGAAAACGCCTTCACGTATTAAATATAAGGATGTCAAGTCATTCATATATTTTTTGTGAATTAACAACAACCATATATGTTAGCCATGTTATGCAAGTTTTTTAACAGGGAGGGAGCTGCAAAAAAATTGAGTGCTGCAGCTTATAGGGCGTTTTCACACTACACAGCACGTCAACAGCACTTTGCCAGCACATCGCTGGCCCGTCGACGTCGGTAATGTTATCATATGAGAGCTTACACACTGGTGCTGTGACGGTGACGTGCTGGCGACGTGACGGGACATGCTGGCGAGCTGCTGGCCCCCCGACGTCGCTGTTGCCGTGCAGTCACCGTCTGTCAGTAGTCTCAGTCAGTGTCAGTACAGCACAACCCTGGCCTGAGTACAAGTTCAAGTTTTAAGTCATGTTTGTCAGTAAATAATCAAAGGTTGGTTTACTCATACGAAAGAAATTGAAAAATTTCATAGGATCACAAATTAACTTCTCAAATAAATTGTACTAATAAGCACCATCAACATACCGTACTTTCAAAACAGGGTAAACCCACCACTTTCTTTCTGACCGACGCTTACGTCTTAAGTACAACAAATATAATCTTTGATTAAAGTCAGCCATGTTGCTTCCACCAAATCTAAAAGCTGGCTGCACTGACTGCAGTAAAAATTTTGTGCTCTTGTCAAGTGTGTAAGGACCCCTGCCGTTGCCGTGCTGTTGCTGTTGCAATGCTGGCGACGTGCTGTGTAATGTGAAAACGCCCATTCATGGGAATATTGTCTATAGTTCTATCATTGACTATTGGATACTGAAGTAGACATCCCATCTATATGGACCAGCTGTCAACAATTTTTTACTAAAGAAGAACATAGTTGTGTGAGCCAGTCACAGAATGCGTTAGTGTCTACAATTCTATTTTCTACCTTATACTTTGTTGCTGACCAAGATTATGGGTCATAACAGTTGCAATAACTCACAATAAGTCATTCCATTTTAACTTGGTAAAAAATGTTGAGTATTCGTCAGAAATTAGTAGTTTAGGTCAGCACAAATAGTCTGTGGCTCACATCAACTATGACAATTTTGTTTAAAAATATATCAACAAATTTAACATGGGGATGGTACGTCTAGGTTGTATTCATAGTAGTTAGTGAACTGAATGAAACTAGTGAATCAATTTCTGGTGTTTGAGCAGGTGGTATTCATGCCGGCGCATCTGAGACACAGCAAGAAGATGGCTCATGAAGAGTGTCGGCGTCGGCGCAACATTTACGCTGCCCAAAGAAGACACCATTCTGCGCCAGTTAGGAATCATTGTAACAGTTACTGCTGCTATCCTGTAGCCTTGGTGTAGTACTCAAATATTGTAAATTTTATCTGCCTTCTTGGATGTCATATATTACTAGATTAGTTGTATAACAGAGGAAGTCAACAAAATATTTCTTACAGAAATGTAAATGTATAAAATTTAGTTTTTAGGAGTTTGTGTGACTTTTTTACCTGCTGAAATACTTTCCAGTTAGTTGAATATTGTGTAAGATGAAGGTAAGGTAGGGGTTGGTTGAGCTTCCTCATACAACCCCTAAACGTTGCGAATTTAAAAAGCAAAAATCTTAACTAAACATAATATCATTTAGTTTATTTATGTGAATATCTAACATATTGTATTATTTGATTATTATAGTCACAAAGTTAATATGTTTGATTTATCATTGTACCTGTTTTGTAAATAAATAAAAATCTTATAAATTATTATTATTTCTGTGTTATTTATTAAAATGTATTCTAACATGTATGCGGACGATGAGTGTCACTTCTGGTGCTGCCCAAGGTTCCATACTCGGCCCGGACCTCTGGAACGTTGCCTACGACAGCCTCCTTAGGTCTGAAATGCCTGAAGAAACCGTTTTAGTTGGGTACGCAGATGACATTGCAGCTTTAATAGCTGCTCGTAGTGTTGAGCTGGCCCAGCTAAAATTAAACCGAGTCATGCGAACTATAAACGCATGGATGGCAGATCACGGTCTCTCACTCGCGCTGAACAAAACTGAGATCGTGATTCTGACCAAAAAGCGGATTGACACCATTGTGCCGTTGAGGGTGGGGGACGTCGAAGTCCAGTCCGTTCGTGCCACCAAGTATCTTGGTGTCATGGTGGACTCTAAGCTTAGCTGGCGGGACCAGATATTCCGAACGGCGGACAAGGCCGCTAAGGTGATCTCTTCTCTTAGCCGGTTAATGGCCAATGTCGGAGGTCCTCGTTCCAGTCGCAGAAGGCAGTTGATGTCTACAGTTCAGTCTGTGCTCCTGTATGGTGCGGAGGTGTGGGCAGACGCGCTCAATAAGGAGGTGTATAGGATGCGGCTTGCCAAAGTGCAGCGTCAGGCAGTACTCAGGGTAGCATCCGCCTACCGAACAGTGTCTGAACCTGCCATATTGGTGGTTGCTGGAGTAATCCCCGTCAAACTTTTGGCGGCGGAGAGGAAAGCGATTTATCAGCGGCGTGGAGAGGACCATGCAAAAATGGAGGAGCGCAACCGCACCTACCAGCTCTGGCAGGAGAGCTGGGAACAGGAGTAGTGGGGACGCTGGACCAGGAGACTGATTCAGCAAGTCCAACCATGGGTTGACCGACGGTATGGTGAGGTGGACTATTACCTTACCCAGTTTCTGACAGGTCACGGGTTTTTTCGGTCGTACCTGTTCAGGATGGGCAAAGCCGTGTCACCCGATTGCATCTACTGCCCAGGCACTCCCGACGACGCGGAGCACACCTTCTTCCGCTGCCAGCGTTGGGAAGGTTCCCGCCTGGAGGCTGAACAACATGTAGGGCAGTTGTTGGTGGACACGGTCATTCCGATGATGACGGAGGGTGAGGACAATTGGACCTGTATGTCACATTTCGTCCAGGATATTCTCCGCACAAAGAAGCTAGAGCTTGACCGAGATGCGGTCTAGGTCATAAAGAAATTGAATGCCAGAAACGGCGCGAGCCCTGAGGGCTTAGGTCACTTGTTGACCTGACCTGAAGTAATGTGACAAACAATCCCAGGTCTGTGTCCAACAGAGTAGAGGGGGTTTTTTAGTGAGTAGTCTGACAAGCTCAGGAGTCTCACACTACAGGCTGGCTACCTGTGTGCGTAAAAGCATTTTTACCTCCTCTCCCTTATAAAAAAAAAAAAAAAAAATTAAAATGTATTCTGGTCATGTTAAAATATTTTTTTCCTTTTATTTTTCCACCCCACTTCTTTCACCCCTGGGGGAAATATTTTTCAAACACTGACCATTAAACTCTTTTTACCTCTAGCTTTGTAAGGGATTGCAATACTCATCAATATAGACAAATAACATAGGTCTCAGTTTTTAACTTAAATTCCTTATTGATCTTGGATTGATCAAACTCAAATGTTTTTTCTACAAGGCTACCTCCTCTATCCAGACTGATTTATTGGGAATTTACTTGCAATTCATAAGTGTTGTTCTGTGTTTAACTATTGACTAGTAGCGGTAGTTGAAGGGTTAAAGTGCTCGCCTAACAATCAAACGGTTGCCGGTTTGATTCTGAGAAAAGTCAGTAGCTTTTTGATGATTTGACACTGGACTCAGCTGTCCCTGATCATTGGGCTATGAATAAATGATCCTGACTGATGAAACAGCTGATCTTAGTCAGTAACAAAGCCAAATAAATCATCTAACAACAATTAGCACTCATCACCTAGGTGGTGACCCCATATCATAGTGATGATAGTATGTATAATACAAGAAAAATATACTTAAACATTGGATAAAACTATTATTTAGAGCCATAGAAATCCATATTGATTCCCTTTTAGACCGTTAGCTAAAGGTATTATAAAAGTATGATGTGATACATATTATGTGGCCATGTTATGCATTTCATTTCAAAATGTGTATTAGACAATAAATGAGAAGCATCAATATCTACTTTTTCTCATATACAGTATAGTCCTGCAAACTTGGCACTCAATAACCTGGCAGTCTGGATAACTCAGCCATCACCTGGCTCAGAAAATTAGTGATTTTTTGAGTCCGAGTTAAACATGGACACAAGCCAGCTCAAGTATAATCATTTGCAACTCATACTAAGGATTTGTTGTACTATATCTGATGACTTAATACTGACTTGTATTATAAATCTAATTAAAATACCCCCGCCGCAGCAAACCTGCAGACTTAGCGAATTTCCATTTGCCTGATTGGATTTACACTAAAATGTCTCCTTAAAAATATCACATTTGTTCCCTATTTAAACAGAATTAGTTTAACGAGTACTTAGGTTTGCTGCAACAGGGAGGGTAAAAAGGTTTTTTTTTTGTAAAATGTAATAGGGTTTAGTATGAAATAAATGCATTTTCCAAATTTGATTAAAATATGTTCATAAACAAGCAAACTACAACAGTTTTCATTTTCTCCTTAAGAATAACATGGAATTTTAAATTACACTATTTTTTAATTTTCTCCGTGACCGTTTGGCATACAACAGCGCTCCAATATACTATCTGCCATTTTGCGCAGGATCAACCTTTTGAAGTGCGGTTTGCGGCATTGTATTCCACTAAAAAAGACCTTTAATTTGATGTGCATATTGCTATGCTTCCATTTAAGATTTTCTTCCGACTCCTTGTGGGCCGTCCCCCTGAAGAGTTATTGGATCACTGAATATGTGTTAAAATAGAGTTTTATGCCCTGTAACTTTGTACCAAGTATTGTAGCTCTATCTGCATTATTTTTTTTAATATTTAACTGTCCAGGGACTTTTTTACCACCCTGTATATATCTATATATAGATATATAAAAATTTGAACGAATGGTGTTTTTGGCCTCTGGGGACATCAAAATGAAAAAGTAAATCGGTCCCGGGCCTAAGTCTTACCATGAGACCTACGGTAATAGCTACTTCCCTATAGGGAAATTCGCTAAAAGGCAGTTAAAAAGCTTAAAAATTGTATTGTTCTTATTTTTAACTCTAGTTCCCGATAACCCGGCATAGACATAGACATAGACTTTATTTGCACAAAACATTCCATACATGTCATAACATTTAGAATAGGTGCATTGTCAAAATTAAATCCATACATAAAATATTTAAAATTAAAACTTTTAACTTAAAACTAAACACTTAAAAAAAAAAAAATTCTAAATTGTAGTTCTGTAAAAATCTTCAATTAAGTAAAAAGCCTTGTCAATAAGAAAATTATCTATTGTATCTTTAAATTTGGTTTTGGTTAGTGACTTATAGCATGGCGGAAGCACATTGTACAATCTCAGCCCAGCGTACAATGGAGATTTTTCATATAGGGTCAAACGGTGTCTGGGGAGTCTAAATATATTTTCATTTCGGGTTTCATACCTGTGATTAAAATGTATTGTTTCTGGTAGCTCATTTTTAACTGAATGTATGTAATTTAATAATTCTAGTATATACAACCCCGTTAATGTATGAATTCTTAAATTTTGAAAATGTTTCTTACAAGAACTGCGTGGATGAGAGTTGGTAATAATACGAATAATACGTTTTTGTAACCTGAATAAAGTTTTAATACCAGTAGCTTGACCCCATAAAATTATGCCATATCTTAACACTGACTCCACATAAGCATGATAAACTACTTTAAGTGTCTCAATAGAAACACAGTCCCTTAAATGTATGAATAAAGATGATATCGACCTAATTTTGTTACGTAAATAATTCAAATGTGAATCCCATTTAACTGCGTCATCTACGTAAACCCCTAAGAATTTATGAGCTTCAACTAAATTAAAGGAACAGTTTTCCATATTTTTGTGTCTAGTAGAAAATTTAATAATATTTGTTTTTTCAACATTAAGTTTTAACCCATTTTCTAAAAACCATTGCTCCATGTCCTTTACCACACTTTGCAGAGAAGAAAACATTTCAGCTGTATTATTATTTTTGATCAAAGCAGTAGTGTCATCGGCAAAAAGAATTAGTTCTTTATTAATAGCTTTTGGAAGATCATTAATGTAAATAAGAAAAAAAAGTGGGCCCAATACTGAGCCTTGGGGAACACCTGTGGATATAATTTCCCATGGTGAATAATGTTTGTTGTTATCTTCTAAAATTAAAGTTCTTTGTTTTCTTTCAGAAAGGTAAGATTGTATTAAAGAAAAGCAACTTCCCCCAATCCCATAATCAATAAGTTTTAGCAACAGGAGTGAGTGATCCACACAATCAAAAGCCTTAGACAGGTCACAGAAAACACCTGCTGTGGCCTGAGACCTGTCCAAGGCCTCTGCAATCTCATTAACAAACTGAGTAAGAGCAGAAACTGTGCTTAAGTTTTTTCGGAAACCAAATTGTTTATTGTAAAATAAATTATTACTTTCAAAATAATTAACTAGTCTATAACTTATTACTTTTTCAAATATTTTAGAAAAATTACTTAATACTGATACTGGACGGTAGTTATTAATATCTGATTTTGAACCTTTCTTAAAAACGGGAGAAATTTGGGAGTACTTGAGTTGATCCGGAAAAATACCATTCTTTAAACACTGATTTATAATAAGAGATAAGGGTTCGGAGATAATGTCAGCAGCAGATTTGATCAATTTAATTGGGATTTCGTCCCAGCCTACCGAAATTTTGTTCTTTAGAGAAAGGATAATCTTTTTTATTTCATCTTTATTAGTGGGGCTAAGATTGCACAATGTAACCCCACCATCACTGCAGTATGATTTTACAGACGAATGAACACCATTGACAGAAGCCTTTTTTACATTCAGATTAATAACTGTATTACAGAAAAAACTGTTAAAAAGCTTAACATAAGCATATTAGCTTAACATAAGCTAATTATAAGCTGTTAATAAGCATTTCACAAACTCGGCACCCTTCCAGTCCGCATTACGCCGAGTTTGCGGGACTCTACTGTAGGATTAAAATTGAACACTGTTTTAACAAGTGAAGGATGAGTATGGAATGGGATTAATCAAATTCTGCTCAAAATCTCACTGGGAACTCAACTGAAACTTTCCATACCGTTTGCTCTAGAACATCTATTTACGATGCGACAACAAAGTGTTTAGCAGTCGAGTGCTAAAGTTGACGGATGTTTGAGAGCGCTAAGTACCGACTAAGTTCTCGGTCAGTCAATGATAATTTAGTCCCGCCTGCTTTTTTGTAGGTATATATAAAGTAGGGAACCTTGGTCAGGCCTTTAGAGGTTAAGAAAGAGAGTGATAGGAAGTACAATAATCGAGTTCTTTAGAAGTATGCCTGCTAGGAGATTGGTAAGTTATTTACTTTTTAATTCATTAGGGAACAAAAAGTTTTATACTTCTCTTAATAAATTTTATAATTTTTCGATAGTTTCAAAGTGTTATAAAAGAGGAAAAAATTAAAATAACTGTTCATTTAAAGTGTTTAATGTATGGAGAAAAAGTATAATCATTTATGGTTGGATTTGTGATCTGGTTGTGACAGCTGATACAGAAAGACACAATGTCTATTTCAGTATTCAGTATTGATGGACACCGAAATTATGTTTTAATAAAATTGATTTAATTTCAATTTCTTCTATTGTATGAATGTACATTCTTCTAATTTATGAATTTTGTTGTTGATAAATCCAAACATTGAAAAAATTGGAAAACGCTTTGCCAGCTGAACGTAGTCGAAATAATATCTTTAAGTGTTACCAACTTCTTTTCATGCGTACACGTATTACGTGCATAATTAAAGCACGCTGTTTTGTGTTTTTTGGTTAGAATACTGGTGTGCGGCAAAAAAAAAACCAAAAAAAAAACCAAAAACTGTGCGTCAAAGTAAGCTTTCTGTACTCTAATCTGTGCAAGGAAGCCCACTTTGTCGGGTGACTGTAGGAAATAGTTATTTGTGTAACTAGTGGTGAAAGTGGCACTTTGCTGCACACGAGAGCAATGTTTACGCACGAGCCGCAGGCGAGTGTGGAATGATCTCGAGTGCAGCAAAGGCCTTTTTCACTCGTGTTACACATTATGTTTTTCCTACAGTCACTATAAAGCATATAAATAATTAGTCTTTCAAACACTATGCAACACGTTTTTAGGTTCAGCTGGCAACACAAATGGTGCCCTAGAGAAAGTAGTACCCGCGGTCCATATCACTCCGCTATTTTTCCTCTGCAAGAAATGTGCTCCGCGTTTTGAGAATATAGTTCCGTATGTTTTTGTAATTTGAAGTGGTTTCCGCGAATAAAAAAAGGCTTAAAAGGTATTTTCTTGTTTATTAAGATCGTAGGAAGGTTTTAAAAACGTTTAAAAGAAAAGTCCAGAAAGTTCAGAAATACCAAAACTATAAACACAAAATGACAGGTTTAAATCGTAGTTATAATAGTCAATCAGCTGCTCATAGTATAATTATCTTTAAGTGTTGCCAACCTATTTCCAAGCGTACACGGATTACGTGCATAATGGAACCACGCTGTTTTGTGTTGTTTCGTTGGAATCCTGATGTGCGGCAAAGTAATTAGCATCTTTCTGTACTATAAACAGTACAAGGAAGCCAACTTTGTCGGGTGACTGTAGGAAAAACATTTTTCTAGTGTCCCAACATTCACTACGTGTTCAATAATCTGTTTCACAGTCACTAACACTTCTTCTGGTCGCCCCAATCATCTCCGCAAGAAGACTTAGCTCAGAAGACTTAGGTCTGACTGGAACAACGACAGCATGGGGTGAGCAAACGGAGAATACTGAGAACGGAGACTTGTACACCTCCACTTCCGAGTTGGGAGATTGGGACACCACTACGGAACCAACCGAGACCTACCAACCAGAGTACGATGAAGGTTTCGAAAACTTTGGCTCCTGGCTACGGCGAAAAAGATCCTCGGATCCAGAGGATGACTTAGAAACAGCTGAGCAGGTTTGTTTGCAATTATTTTTTATATTTTAGTTTTGATATTTTTTGCATGTAAAGTACACTATTTAAACAATAGTGACAACAATACACAACAATAGTTGGTTTTCTTATTAGACTGCGTTATTCATTTGAGTACCTATGTTAGATGCCAAGGTATTTTATATGCTTCTCTATTCAGCAATATAATAAAGATTAATATATCTGTTTTTCATCCTCTTGAATCAGTAGATCATTTGATAATTTTGTATTCCAATATACTACAGTATTCCAAGTTCTCTTAACAGTTTAACTAGTTGTTTAAGTGCTTGCCTGGCAGTTAAACGATTATCAATCTTCAGTTATTCTTTCAGATAGCAGGCATAGATTTGTGATTGTATTTTAAGCTGAATAAAACATAGTGAGATATCTGTTTAGCTTTGTGACTCAACTGACTAAGATCAGCTGTTTCTTTATCCACGCTTATTTATTAAAAGCCAGCTGAGCATTTATTAGATCAAGGACAGCTGGGCCCATTTTAAAATTACCAAAAATCCGCTGAGTGGTTGCTGATACAATTCTAAAAAAAGTTAGAAACCTTGATAGTTTGATAGTTGACTCAGCTGATCTTGATCAGTGGGCTTCAATATGGTAGGTACTTAAAAGAAACATCTCATATTAGTCAGTAACAAACCTACAGTACACTCCCTCTTATCCTGAATCCTCGGGACCGAGGCCAGTCCGGATAACGGGTTTTCTGGTTAAACCGACGTCCCCAAAAACTTGTTAAAACAAACCGTTTACTGTGATATTCAACTTAAATTTAGGAGAGCATTGTATTTATTCATGTGATAACTGGTCTCAAATCTTTCCCACGAGAACAGTTGTTTCAGTACCGCCCACTTCTTGCCGATCTAGTCTGTTAAACCAATGTGCTGATAAAAATTGTCCGGTTAAACAGATGTCATTTCCGCCGAGTGTAGTCCGGTTAAACAGATGTCCGGTTAAAAGGTGTCCGGATAAGAGGGAGTCTACTGTATAACATAAACACAGCATCTCATTCCATTCTACACTCATTCCTCACATTTGGGTCCCCACCCCATACTCAAGGTGCCTCCTCATCTTGATAGGTAACTAAATTTTTCTGTTTAGGTACTCTTCCGTCCAACTTTCCGCTACAAGCATCTTGTGAAAGAGCGAGAGAAACACAGACTGCAAGAGCAACTCCGGCGACAGTTCAGTCAGAAGTCACAGGTCTCGGCACAACCATCCAGGAAGTACTACAATACTTACCCCCAACAGAACCAGAGATACCCACAGGTACCAAGTGCACAGAGAGTATATTCCCAAACTTCCCTTTCCCAAAGTGTATATTCCCCTCAGAGGGTGTATCCCCAAAAAACTTCCCCACCCCAGAGGGTATATTCCCCACAAACTGCCCCGCCACAGAGGGTATATTCCACTCAGTCTTCCCCTCAGAGAGTTTACCCGCAAGCATCGGCCACACAGAAAGTGTATTTGGCAAATTCCCCAATTGTGCCAAATTACCCTCAACTTGTCCAGTCTTCCCCACAATTCCCGGCACAATATACTCAAGGATTCAGGCAACAAAGGTCTCCTTATAATTACTTTTACTCTCCAAAAACTTACTAAACTTATAAGGCTTTACAATCATAAATTGTAAGTGTATTATTTAAACATTTGAAGGTTTTGAACAGTTGTTTGTGTAATATAACCTTAAAAAGTCACAAATATGCTGCCACAAATTTTATATGAATTTTTAAATTAAAGTCTTAAGAATTTAAAAAGTTGTTTGTTTTTAGAAAACCTTAAAACATACCTATGGGAATGCAGGTTTATTCAGTTGTGCAATGTGACAGAGTACATTATTTCCGATCTCAAAATAAATTGATTCTTTTTTGGAGATTGTGAAAAAAAGATCAAGCGTTTTTGTATTTTTACAATTACAGCAATAAGTTAACCAGCGTAACGGATTAAACAATTGATCAGATTTGACATTTGTGTATTTTTTATATTGTTTTCTCCTTATTTAGAATAAAAATATACACCTTAAGGTATTTTAATTTTTAATAATTTATTCATTATGTCTACAATTTGATTCCCAGTGAAGTTTAGTCATTTTTTTTATTCAATTTGATTCAGAGTAGGGTATTCTCAATGCCAAGTTATACTGGGTGATCAAAAAGTCCCATATTGGCTTCGTAATTTTTTGAATATTTAATATTGACCAACAAAACTTAGAACATGTCTCTCGCACACAAATTACTATTTTAACACATATTCAGTGACCCTCTACCTCCTCAGGGGGACAGCCAACTAGGAGTTAGAAGAAAATTTTAAATGTAAGCATAGTGATATGCACATAAAGTTAAAGGTTTTTACTAGTAGAATACAATGCCGCAAACTTGAACTCTCGTCATATCATAGTTTCTGTGGTTTTAGGCGTCAACTGTTATTAAGCTAGTTCATTGTTAGTTGACGGACGTAAATGCAGTACAGTATTTGGACATTGGACATGCGCAAGTAGTGGAGACATTTCAGAGGTAATATTTAATATCAACCAAGTCAACTGATAAATTGAAATAATAAACGATACAATAAATTGAGATAAATTGTACAAGGAAATCATTTAAAAAGAACAACAATAGACTTTTTAAATAAGTTTATAATTTTTGTACAAGAATGAAATAATTAAAAAATACAAAAAATCAGATGCACCTTGTAGTATTACAGAAAAATTTACTACCATGGCTTATTAATTAAAGTTAGATTATTTAGCTTTACTAAACAAGCCGGGTAAAGTTTTCTGTAAAACGTTTACGTTTTGAAAGAAATGGAGGGCAGTCTTGAAATTTTTGAAATGCGTAGATCCAGACTAGTAGAAACCCACTCCAAATCCAACACCGACTCCTCCGTATCCTCTTCCATATCCTCCATATCCGCCATATCCACCATATCCGCCATATCCACCATATCCTCCATAGCCACCATATCTGAATGGAATACAGATAAGAATTTAAAAGATCCCATTAGTTGTTATAAAAAGATTATCGAGATTTAAAACTTTTGCTGAAGCATTGTGTTAGTTTATAGTAATAATAAACTTATCTACTGTTTAGTTGGCAGACAACAATATCTAAAACATATGATTTAGTATGTTTTACAATATATATATTGCAGCACAAAAATTTTCAATAAGTTTTTAAAATAAAATTTTATTGTTGACTAAAGTTAGGGAGTTACTTTTCAAGTATTCAGTACAGTCTGAAACTTACCCTCCATAACCCCCATAACCTCTTCTATAACCTCCCCCGTGGCCACCGTAGTATCCCCCATGTTTGTAGCCGCCACCCCTGAAACATAGTAGAAGGGTTCAAGTTTATAATGATCGTTGACTAAATACCAAACACTAGTGAACCATCCATTTTTGTAACCACCATTGTTTTTGTTGTTGAAACTTTAAGGAAGAATTTTATTCACTAGTCTTAAAAATACCTCTGGCAAAGTTTGAGCAAACGCAGAACAATTTTGAAATTTAGTGCTATTTATTATCATAAGAATACGATGAAAAAACAATTTAACACTTTTAGAGTGTTTTTGACATTTGTAGGGATTAAAATTTGTCCACACACTAAACATTTGTTGTCCTTGAATCATTCAACAAAAGAATACTGTGATATCCGAGGAAAGTGCTACGTCGTAATAATTTAAACCTTAAACGTTACAATTAATTCTTTAAATTCCCACAAACACAGTACAAAATTCACACAATAGATATTTGTGTAACTAGTGGGCGAAGTGGTACTTTGCTGCACACGAGAGAAATGCTTACGCACAAGACGTAGGCGTGTGTGGGTTACACATTATATTTTTATTACAGCTACTATAAAGCATATAAATAATTAGTCTTTCAAACACTATAGGGGTAACACATTTTTAGGTTAGGTTAAATCAAAAAATTGAATGAAATGGGAAACGCTGCACCAACTGATCGTAGTTGTAATATTTTCAAGTTTTGTCCACTTATTTTCAAGCATAGCGTGCCTTATAAAAGCACGCTGTTTTGTGTTGTTTGGTTGAAATACCGGTGTCAAAAAAAAAAAAAAAAAAAAAACTGTGCGGCAAAAAGCAAAGAGAGCAGCAGTGTGTAGAGGCAGCAATAAGCAACTTTCTGTGCTATAATCAGTGCAAGGAAGGTTACTTTGTCAGGTGACTGTAGGAAAAAGTCTTGGCAAACAGTTGTAAAGTCTCCCATAGTATGTCTAATTCATCATCCTTAAAGATCGACTAAATATTATTTTAAGATGTGTTTGTGCTCAGTAACGCGAATGCATGGATACAGTTTGATACTAGTAACCAAATCAGAATCAATAGTCTAAATCAAATACAGTCCATTTCATTGAAAGCCTTTATAGGCTGTACATAACAGCCTTTTTGGTTTCTAAAAAGTTTTTAAATTTCAGTTAAAAATTGCAAACTCAATTTATATTAATATTTTTTGCCCTAGTGGCAAAATTTTTGTGCATGTAACAAATAATTGAGAAGATTCTGATACAGGAAACTATCAAAAACGTTATTCTATTTTGCAAAGAGAAAATTTAAATCTAATGATTTGCGTAAAGTATAGTAATATTTAGCGTTCTTCTTACATAATTATTGTACATGTAATCAAGAATCAATAAAATTTGAGTGTAGGAAAGTACCAAAACAAACTTAATCTACTTTTTTGTAAGAAGAAAATGTGACTCTAATTATTTGCATCACTCTCTCTCAACATCAAAGAAATTTCCTCACCATCCGTAGCCGCCATATCCGAATCCTCTGCCGATTCCTCCAAGTCCAAAGACTGGGAAGAATGTAGCTTCTGCCTTCAGGTCATCCTCAGATGTTTCTGCCTCTACTTTGCTCTCCTTCAGCCCTGGAGAAGCTGCTGAAGGATCCTCCTTCGCAAGGACAATGCCTGCCAAGAGTAGCAGAAGAGCCAAAACCTGGTAACATTGGGTCAAAGTCAATATCCTTCAGAAATTCAAAATTTATTGATCATGTGAATTGCCATGTTACTATAATTAAGATGGGAAAATCTGGACGAATGAAAATCTCAAATACGAATGAAGGATGAGTGTAGGATGAAGCTAGATCCCTTGTTGCTTTGTTACTGACTAAGATCAGCTGTTTTCTTAGCCACGACCATTTAAAACCCAATCAAGGACAACTGGGCACAGTTTTCATCCATCAAAAAGCTACCGAATAATCTTATTGCAATTGCAAATTTTTCCTTTACGATTAAAAGTTGATCTGTTGCTTGAAATCTAGCATAATACATCTTAGTATAAGTAAGTGATTTATGTTTTTGTTATTGGCATAAACAAAATCAATTAAGTAAATACAAAAATTTAGCTGGAAAATCTGGTCACATGATGAAAGATAAATTTTACTGTTTTGTCTCTTAGTAAAATGAATATGTAAAAAATATTGTGTATTCAACAGAAATCAGTAATTTAGATCAGCATAATCTGTTGGTGGCTCACATCAACTACGACAATTTTGGTTCAGAAACTGGCTACAAATTTAATATAGGAATGGAATGTTGAACAATGGAATCGTCTAGTTGAATTAATAGTCAGAGGTAAAACCTACATCAATATTAACTTGATAAACTTAAACTAATATGGATTTTTTCTTATTTTCTGTAATCACCATACTGTACATCTAATTTGTTATAGAGTCCCTTTTGTTGGGATCATCTTGGAGACAAAAACCAATGTTGCCTTTCCAGCAGGTGCACAATTACAGTGTATTCTTACAAAAATCACTATTCAGTTTGGGCGTAATAAATATTCATAAAGGTCCAGCAGCTTACCAGCCACTCGCTAAGTTATACACTTAAAGTCATAAATTTCCCTGAGGTGAACAACCTGGTAGAGTCAAGGTTGGCAACAATGCATCTTCATGATCAGGGTTGCCACCTTATATACACCAATATACACAGCTGTGCTGCTATCTGGTTTCATTTGACTTACAATTAACTGAAAATCTACCCACTATATTAAATTTTGTAGATCCATCCATGTTGAGGCAGTTGATTCCAACGTATTGTGGATTCATAAATAAATGAATACTGCGGTAGAATAAAAAATTGTACTTGGTGAAATACAAAGAAGATTCATATAAAACTAATAGTTCAATTTGAGACTGGTAAATTGTTTTCAAATTATGAAAACCCTCGGATTTGGGAATTGATTCAAATTTCTTAAAATGTGGGTTGGGTTGATTTGCTCTTCTAAATTTCCATCTTGGTTATTTTACAGTGTGGAAGTAATATCATGAAAACAAACTTTTTGTTGCAAAATGAGCTTAATCCAGATTGGATACAATGAATTCAGATTGAATATAGCATAGTATCCTCTAGATAAGCATAATTAAATTTAATTGAACTTAAATTTATTTAGTTCAGGCTGCAAGATTTTACAAATTTTGAAAGATAAGAAACCAAAATAACACACTAGGTATATAAATAATCTACTAAAATAATATTAAATACTAAATTCCATCTTTTATTTATGATATAATACTTTAAATATTAAGTTGACATTTAAAATATAATATAGGTACCTGAACTTTACAACAATTTTTTAAATTAATTTTTCAAAATAGACAGTTCTATGCCATTAGTTATATATTTTTCTTTTGAGCGTAGAAAATTTGTTGTACCACATTTTATTTTAAAATCGGCATAAGTTTCCATAAAAAATATGTTTTCCATCAAACTAAAATTTGTCTGAAATACACATGCGATTCTAATAATTAATTGTAAGCTTAAACAAAATTACAAAGCTAAATAACTCAAAACACATTTGGCTTATCAACAGCTATAATAGTCCTAGGATATGTTAACATAATTTCTACGGTGTAAAGCGATGGTTCCTTACCTGGGTGGTGGACAGGGCCATGTTTTGAGGAGTCTCATGTTCAATGGCTACTTATACACTCCCCACCAATACTGGGCTGTTGGACATCCCAGACATAATGTCAAGGAACTCACGGGACAAACTTCCAAAAACTTCCTCTTCGAATAAATTCTAGTAAGTTATTGGGAGCTGAAAAGAGTAAATATTTGTTCCCTGTAGTCTTTCTGACATTTGAAATTTTGTCCGAGTTTGTTTGATTATTGAAATTCAGACTGATCACTTTGTTCTCGCACATCACAAACATTGGGCTATCAATTAATGATGAAAATAAAAGTTTGACTTGTGATACTGACCACACTACAGTTAGGAGTGTAGGACCGATCCATTTCAATGACCATAAAAAATCAATGGTGTGAATATACAAATAGAAATCTCAATACCTGTTAGTTGTAGTAAGCATTCTTTAGGAACTTGCAGTGGTCATTAAATCTATGCTCTTTATCATTTAGCATTAGCCATTTAGATGAGGACGCTACCTAGGTGCATATTTTCACCCAAATATGAGTGAAGGATGAGTGTAGCTTTACTGACTAAGATCAGCTGTTCTTTAGTCAAGATCATTTAATTAAAGCCCAATCATCAGGGACAGCTGGGTTCAGTTACGAACCATCAAAAAGCTACATTTGATTGTTAGGAGAGCACTATGACCACTCTCTATATTCACTAACCTTTTGAGGCTACGCAAAACATATCTCTCATTCTACAATCCTCTCACGTTTCAAGAATATTATTTTCATTGTTTACATTAATTATTACAATTTAAAAAAATCTATTTCATTTGGACCAGTTGTTGACGATAACATTTTTGTATATGCGAATACTTAAAATGTAGTTTCACTGAATACATTTAATGTGCAGGTATATTAAAGATACCTTCGCCCCTTTTAAAAGATAACAGGCAAAAGTGGAAACCCACAAGTATTTTTAAGGGATTTATAAAACAGTATAAAAGACTTAGTAAATTCTCCCTTGGTTTTTGTTACTGTAATAGTTATGGGTGTGACATAAAAGATACTCTATTGTAATAAGTTGTCCTTTCAGTTTGATTTAGTTAAAAAGTTGGCATATTCAACAGAAATCAGCAATTTAGATCCCAATCTGTCGGCGGATCAATTCAAATACGTCCTATTTTTCACTATAAATTACAAAGTTTCATCTTTATGGACCAGCTGTTGCCAATTTTTCATCCAAAAAGAACGTGGTCGAGTAAGCCAGTCACAGGTTGCACATGAGTCTAAAATTCTATTTTATATATAATTTTTTGTTGCTTAGATGGTTGATGACATGATCCTACGGTTTAAAAAAAGTTATCCTATCAGGTTCACTTGGTTAACAGTTCTACACGTGCGATAGATATCACTAATCAGTAATTATTTATATCAGCGCAATTTGTAAGTGGCTCACTTCGACTACGCCCATTTCCATTCTAAACAGCTTCAACATGGGGAATGAATTTTAGGTTCTATGGTTTCATAATATAAATCCGTTATGTAATGATAGAAAGACAAATTATTGAAATTCTCACCCTATGAAAACTTAATAAAATGGTAATTTCATAATTATGTTCATATAATACCAAATAAATCCAGATTCAGATGGTAACCAGAAAATACTTATAGCATATAGATTACGGATTTACAAGGAAACAAAAATATTTCCTGCAGTTTTTTAGGTGGGAACTTGACCCCTGACCAGTCTAACTTGTTTGCCCAGGATCAAAACTAAAGTTGAAGAGCATCAGGATATCAACGTGTCCTTGACTTTTGACTGAGACCTCACTAAAGGACTTGTTTTTGTGTGTCCTTTCCATTTACATCTTTCAAAGCTTGGATGTGTTTGTTAGTGTCAAAAACAAGGGGGGGGCGAGCTGGTCTAGTGCTAGAGCTTAGGACTTCAGTCCCCGGGTTCAAATCCCGCTAATCAGCAATGGATTTTATTTATGTGATAATGCCGATACACTCTAGGACTAGCCTAAAGTAATGTGAAACGATCCCGGGATAGAGCCTATACAAGTCCTATAAGAAGTTTGTTTCTAGGAAAATTAAGTAGGTCTTATACTTACTTACTTACTTACTCCTGTGGCCATTGGAAACCTAGGTGGTTTTTGGCCTCGCCAACCATGTGCCTCCAAGCTCTTCTATCCTCTGCCAGCTCCAAGTCTGCTCCCATTCCTCTCAAGTCCTTCATCACCTCATCAACCCATCACATTCTTGGTCTACCTAATGGTCTCCTTCCTTCTGGTATACCTCTGAGTACCATCTTTACCATCTCTCTCTCACTTCTACGGTTAATATGGCCGATCCATCTCAACCTCCTACTCTTAACTATTCCCACAATATCTGGTTCACCATATAATTCTTTTAACTCTCTATTTTTCCTTATCCTCCATGCATAAGTAGGTTTTATGCTGACCCAAAAACAGGCCATAAAAGTAGGATCTTGTAAGAACAGTGTGAAACGAATAAATAATAATATAAGACTCAAGTTTTATTTTACCAGGCTTCAAAATTTATTTACTTTTATCAAGTATAGAAAAATTAGTCAATGATACACTTAACCTTTTAACTTGTATTCATTTTGTATGCTAACCCAAATCCAAATCTATAGTTTCTTGTACAGGTCCCTATGAAGAAAAAAAATTCAACATGTATCTTAAAAATTAAATCATCTATTTAAAATATCTCCTAAGGGTAAGAATTAAAGATAAATTGTTTATCTAGTTATTAAGTTAAATATTATTTCATTAGCTATTAATACATGTGCAAATTATATGCATGGTAGATACAGTGGTAGTCATCAGAAGTTGGAGGAACGTCCAAAGTAAGACGTTGTCCTTCTCTAAAGAAAGACTATTGACCTTCTCTGTATGTTTGCCATTCAAACATTCCCAGAGACCTGTTTAACATAGACACGTGTTTAACTGTCAAAAACAGTGAAACATCTCAAAATTTAGACATGAGGCCATGAATGTTATGGTTTTAAAAGGATATCACTACGGTTAAAAAATAAACAATATCAGCAATCTGACACATACTTTCTCTTACTAGCTTGTCAACAATAATAAGCATCATGGATAAGCGGTGGGATTAACTATGATTTTTTATGGGAAAAATCATAAAAGTTGCAATAACTTTCAAACGGTGATTTTTAAAGGATTGGGGGTTGTACCATTTTGTTTAGAGTTTAAAGAACCATAAGTCATAAGTAAATTTAAATCAAAATAGTTAAAGCCATTTTTTTTAAATAAAATATTTTGTTATTTTAAGAGGTTTTATGGAAAAATCACTACGGTACAGTATTAAAAATCAAAATAAAAAAAATGGGAAAAACCTGCAGATACCATGGATTCAGGTCCAGGTTTTTACTATGGGAACTACGGTAATAGCTTATTACCTATATGGGATATTCGCTAGAAACAAATTCAACAAGTAAAATTTTGAAGAAATTTGGTGGTTACTCTTCTCAATCCTTTTTAATCACATTTCAGTAGTAAATGTTAACACAATATCTCAGTAAAAGTTAAGTTCACAGACTTGTATTTATAATTTAATTTTATCACCTGTGTCAGAGGCAACTTGAGATGACAAATTGCTTGGTTATTTATTCAAAGGCCACAAAGAAAAAGCTATTAAGCCCTTAAATAAAACTGAGATTCAAACCTTCCCCTCTCATACAGGAACCAATAGGCTATTTTTAAGCCTACGTAAATCACCTGATTATATATTTACTTTGTTCTAATGTCAGTTACAAGTCAAAATGTTGTTTTAACACGGAATGATTAGATTTGTTTCTAACAACAATTGGGATTTTCATTTAGCCCCAACAGACATAAATTAATTATAAAATTGACATAAAGTAAGTCAAATTTCAGGTATGAAGATAATATGCAAAATTAAAACTAAAATTTATTTTACAAAGACAATTAAGTTACATGCTAATAATTCTGTGTTATTACATACAATAAAACCAGTATACTTTATAGTTACTTAAAGACTACATAGTGAAAAAGACACTTAGTTTTCACGGTTAAAGCTAACTGATAGTAACAAAGTAATATGATTTTAATCAAATTCTAAATGACTTAAAATCACATAGAAAGAGTACTTTTCAAGAGAATTTAAATGAAAAATGTTAAAGAATAAATAAGGCTTGGCTACATCTAAGAGGTAACTAAAATAATTTTATATACAAGGTTCAAAATGTCTTATCTGTCTACTTCTTCATATTCAGTGTAAATTTCAACTGCCTTTGACGTGTCCAGATATTCATCCAACGTAGTTTGATCCCATTCCTAAAACATAATTTTGATCAACTTAACATATAAAATTTGCTCGGTTGAAATATTATTAGATATTACTAGTTTTTTGTGTATGAAATTGTTGTAAATCATCTACAAGAATTTTTACGGCACACTATTTTAGTGTGAATATGAATAATCTATAGTTAGAGACAGAGAAAGATCTTAAACATCAGAACAGAAAAACTTAAGCATTCTTTACACTTGTTTGCAACACTTGTTAAACATAGCAACCATGCAAGTTTGCAACAATCCGTAGAAAGCTAGTTTTTTTAAACATCAAAATTTACAACAGTTTACAGTGATTACAGCAGAAATTTTGATTTACACAAGTAGTTGAAAACAATTGTTGGCAGCACTTGTTGACAACAGTTTTTGTCAACAAAAGTTTTAAACATTTTGTTGCCAAATCACAAGCTTCAACACCTTCACTCTCGCATATTGTTTCCTAAAGAATTGTATTTAAAATCTACTGAGCTTTCTAAAAAAAATCATAACAAACTTGCAAAATTTTCATTGTGCTTGGTAACACATTTTTTTAGTTTTTACCTAAATTACTTTTTATTTTTGAGAGTCGTAGTAATTGTCTTCTAACTACCTTTATGGCACTAACCTTCTAACAAATCTCAAAGTGCTCTGTGGCCTAACCCAAAGTAATGTGTATAACGGTTCTAAGAGAGTGCTTATAAGTCTAGCGTAGGATGTGTATGTAGGACAGCAAAATAAACAAAGACCGTACCTTGAGCTGTCCATGGCCCTGAGCGTAGTGGCACCTGACCACAGGAGTGTTGTCGGAGGCTAGGGAAGTGTCACACAGGGTGGTGGGGGTTGGCGGTACTGCGCCAGCCGCTAGTCTGCCTCCCCACACCTTCAACCCCTTGTGCGCTACGTCCAGGTTAAACAGGGTGCCGTTAGTTCCCAGCACCAGGGGAGTGCACAAGTCTCTCGGCACTGACACCTGCAATCAAACAAAAAAGGGTTTTATTGTTTTAAAAGGGTTATCGGTCTCTTTTAACTTGCATATTCCCTTCCACATGGATTACAGAGGCCTGTCAATGGTATGTATACAGCAAAGAAAGGGGTGAGCCGGTACAGCACAAGGGTGAACTCTACTGAGTAGTGGCAGGTACAAGTATGTGAACCCACAACATCACTGCCTTGAGCCCAAAGTCCGTGGCGCTACCCACTGAGCCAACATCTCACCAATGTGTACTGGTTAAACATTATCTAGAGGTCCCAGATTCAATTATCAAATTTATACTGGCTACTATCAATTTAGAACTCCGATATTCAATTTGCGAATTTCTAAAGATGAAAAATATACACAGTGCAGTGGTTCTAGATTCAATTAAACAAATTAAATAAAATCAGTTAAAATTAATGTAGAGGTTTTGGATTCACTTCTATATAGATGAATAAAAATCTAGAGGTTAAAGATTTAATTCTCGGATTAATAAAAATGAAAAATAATCCAGTAATTCCTGATTGAATTTTTCTATTTATTTATTCAAATGAATTAACATTTTAGTCATTTCAGATCCACAATTCTCATTACAGCTTCCTGTTATAATATGTTAGTAAGTTATCTCTATTTGATACTACTACAACTTTCTCAATAAGATACTGGGTTTTTGTTAGTGAGATCACAGGTTCAAATCCTGCCAATAACCAATAGGCTTAGATATGTGATAATGCTACGAGCCTCTAGCTTGTGTCTTAGCCTGAAGTAATGCATAACATGATTAGTGACTGCTATAGTCTGTTCACAAAATTTAGGCAGTTTGAGGGGAGGTTCCCCCACTACTTTTTTTGCTTAATGTATGTTGCAGCTGATTGACGTTTTGAAAAACCTCGGCTGTTGAGCATTGTTTTATTCCACTATAAACTGTAGGTCCCTTAGTTGCCATTAGCTGTGTGGGCTATTAATTAACAGCTGTGTCTAAGGAACATGTCGGCCTTAGTCACTAACGACTACAAGATCGCGCCACTCATCCTACACTCATCCTTCACTCATATTTGGGTTAAAATACGCACATAGTGGCGTCCCCATCTTAAATAATTGAATTGAATTGAATTGAAAAGGTGTGATCAAGTGGAGGAAATGGATTTCTTCCGCTTAAATTTTGTAAACGGAGTATAGTGTCCAAGGCTGTAAGGGCAAAATAATCTACCTGGTCCAGTAGTGAGGGGCTTGGTAAAGTGTTCCTGCCGAGTCTCTTCCTCGGGTACGCTCCGCTTTTCTCCAATCCGATGGCCTTGCTGACCGCTCGTCCCCGCTTGCCTAGGATCATGTCCTGCTGAAGGACGTGCACGGACATGTCCAACTGGGTGAGACGCTCCAGGACACTTCCAGGAGCCTGGTCGACGGGACAGCTGCTACAGTGGAGCAGGACGGCCATCTTGGAAGCGCCGGGGCGGAACGTGAGGCTGGTGGTGAGGTCTAGGGCGGACATGTAGGCAGAAGTAGCTGACGAGGTGTCCAGTCGGCTATGGGGCATATGTGGACTTTATAAATAACGTACCCATTTTAGTGTGTTCACATTATTAAACATGATTCGTTGATGTTCTACGGTTTAGGTTTTCTCTATTTTACAATACAAACAGATATCCACACATATCTAATTTTGTACACCTCACTTCAAAATGTCAACGGAATTACAAGAAAAATTAAGACAATGAGTAAACATAACTAACCTGACAATGTCTTCCAGATTCCCGACCTCGGTGGTCCAAACATGACCGTTTATAGTTTGTATTTGAGCCCCTTTTTTGTTGAATGAAACAAACGCAAACTGGTTCTCAGTCATTCCCTTAGCTCTCAGCTCGGTGTCCAGAATTGCAGGCAGGTCTGTAAAGTTGAACCTATCTTTCTTGACACAGTCTGCTTCTTCCACAACAAACACAATGTCTGCCGACATCTTCGATGGAGTGACTACAGCGGAGTCTATCCCAGTTGCCTCAGAAGAATAGGATTCTGTCACTGTAAAAATATTAAATAATTTGGTAGTGTATTTGAATAAATTCTTAAAATTGTAAAATTTCCAGCTAACTTGGTTAAGAAAGAAGTAGATGGACCCTTATTAAAGTATGTGTTGTAAAGATCTGTAAACTACTAGATAATTTCAGTTTTAACAAGTTTTTTGTTTGTTATCAATCAAAGTATATTTAACTATATTCTATTATTCGTAACGTGATATATAATAGACAATAAACCTGAACTTTATTATTCTTTTAGGGCCTGAATTTTCCCTCCAAAATTAGGTAATTTTATACTCTTTCAAAGCGCGAGTAAGCAAAAATATGCAAAAAAATTTCATTAGATAATGGATCAAAACCATTTAACCCATTTGCATCGGCTTATTTATTTACCAAAAATACCAGTATCACTGAAACAGTAAAAAAAATTAAAAAATATTAAACTATTTTTTTATGATGTTTTATAGTATGTTGTAGCTGAAAATAATAATAAAATGTATATTTGTACATATTTTTGTATTTTATATGTATAATTATATGTATTTAGGATAATATTATACTATTTGTTATACTTCTCAAAAAAATAAGTGCATACCTGCCTGTATTTCATAATTATCAAATCATTCAAGGAATGTAATATTTTGCTGAACAAATTTAAATATTTTTATATATTTACATATATGTATATATATATATATATATTTACATACATGTATATATATATATATATATATATATATATATATATATATACATATATATATATATACACACACACAATTTTTGTGAAGATCAACTTTTTGTTTGTCAAAGTTTAGATACATAAATCATTGCATAATTTTCAATAAAAATATCCAAAGAATTGTTAAAAAATATACACACAGTATAAAAGGTAATTGGAAGTACAGAGAGACTAAAGCTGTAAGCGAGATGGCGTCAGTATGGCGCAGAGTGCGGCACGGAAGGCGCTGTCGTGGTTGCAGCGTCGCGTCACCCATGCCTCACGTTACCATACTATAGCCTTCACTTACTAAATAACACTTATTGCATGGTTTGATTGAAATTTTGTTGTAAATACCAATAAATTTTAGTTCAGTTCCATTCATTTCAGGAAAATAAAAGAGTAAACTAAATTCATGTGTTTTATTTTTACATTTTAGGGTAGGTCAATTATTATGAAACAATGAATACAAACTGTTCAAACTATCATTTTCAAAATGTGTGGAATGCTTTGAAATTATAAATGTCCACATCTCAGGGTAAAACACGAAGAAACATTGTTCAAACTAGTAGTTTCGAAGGGTGTGATAAGCTTTGAAGTGATCCACAAAGGTACATGACAAGTGTCACATTCATAAGTGGTTTCACGTCTGTTACCATGAATATAGCACACTTTGCATCGTTTGGCAGTCTTTGAACCTTTTTTCTCAGATGGTTGGAGCTTTTGAGGAAAGTGTCTTCCTTGTAGGCGCTGAGGGGGTGGGTTTGGAGGCGTATGTCTTTCAGGTAACGCAACTGCACACTCATTTATAATTTCTTCAACTAATGCTTGCCGGAAAGTGGCAAATGATCGATTTGCCTTGTTACCGTTGAGGAGTTTGTGCACTATGAATGAATTCAGCACACACATATCAATTATGTAAAAAGCGATCTTCTTGTATGATTTTGCATACCTCCTCAATATGTTATTTTGGCTCAATATTTGATCCCCGCGGTCAACCCCACCCATACTGTTGTTATAAGCCTGAATAGCTAGAGGTTTTATTTTGCTATTTCCGGTTTTCCAGCACCTTTTATTAGTTTCGCAGTAGTCCAATTTGTGCATAGTAGTAATCATGTACACGTCCTTCCTGTCAAGCCACCTTATAACCAAAATGTTTTGGAATGTTCTGGCACTTGATTCGCCGACTTCCAATTTACATTTTCTCAAGTCTTTAGGCATTTTCGCACGGTCACATTGAACTGTGCCACACGTGTTTGTACCAAGATTGAAGAGCTTGTGGATTAGTATCGGTGATGTATACCAATTGTCGATATAAAGGTTGTATCCTTTATGTAGGACGTCACATCGTTCACACATTTGTAGTACGACTTTCTGGCTGGCCGGGAGGTCTCCAATTTTGTCCTTACCAACATAAATATCAAAACTGCAAATATATGCATTTGTTGAGTCGCATAGTTTATAGAACTTGATCCCAAACCGGGCTTGTTTTTTTGGGTTGTACTGTATATACAGCAGTCTACCGTGACACTTGACAAGAGACTCGTCAATAGAAATTTCTTGGTTAGGAATGTAATTACGGCGAAATTTACTTTCCACTAGATCAAACAGGGGCCTTATTTTGTGAAGACGATCAGTCCGGTCGATATTGTCGTTGTTACAAAAATGCAAGTATTTACTTATGGCTAAGAACCGATCACGGGGCATTACATTTCCGAAAATAGGTGTATGGATCACTGGTGATCGACTCCAGTAACTTTGAATGGTCGGCTTGTCGACAAGTCCCATAAGAATACATAGTGCTGTGAGGTGTTTATGTCGGGTAGGGCACCTATCGTAAACTTACCTCCGATTTGCTCGGACAGCTCGAGTAGTCCAGGGTCTCGCTGACAGTCCTCGTCGCTCGCTTACCACTTCTAGATCTTCGTAGATGTTAATGTCGCGCCGATCTGCTAGTCCACAAGTACACACTGTGTACCTCGGCACGTCGACGCACCGTACACGAGTTGCTATTAAGGAATACACTAACTATAGTTACTCCTATAACTTGGTGTCAGCACAGCGACGCGCTGACAAGGCCAAGTCTAAGCTAACTACTAGGGCTGATAGATAAATAGGCGACGATTAGGGAATAAAATAAATAACCAGCTCCTAGGCTTAACGAAAGATCTCACTTCTCGAAATAAAACTAAAAATAATCTTCTCGGAATTAAAAGAAAACGACGCTAACTCGCGATAAGTAAATAAGGAAATAAAACAAAACGTAGAAGGCACCTAGGCCAATTCTTCTTGGCTTTAAGGAAAATAAATAAAAACTCCTGATTACAATAAAACAAAACCACTTTGGATGACTAAAAGTCGGCGTATGTGACTGCGACACTACACTCGCAGCGTCGGTCGATAAACTACGTTATTCTATAATAAACTACGATAAACGTCCTAGAATAGCCTAATAAATAACGCAATTTCCCTCGCCAAAGTGGATACGGGGATGAATACAACGTATACGCTAGCTATATACAGTGTACTTACGTAACACGACACTTCCAGATTTGCATCCGGGTTACTCTCGCCTTCGTCCGGATACCTTATTATTTGGTTCGCTCGCACGGCCTAAGGAGGGTTGGTTGGTGTGCGCGAACCTAACGCTCGACGCCGACTGTCTCAAGAACTGTCCACTGTCCGCTGGTCTCGGCTTCTCCCCACCACGTCTACGGCAGCGCTTCAAGGTGACAGCGGCCGAGTCTCGAACTAGGAGACATGACCAGCTGCAGTGGACATGTGTGACATTGTTGTCAAGCGCGCTCAAGCCTTCGCGGCCTTTAAATAATTAAAACGAACCCCCCAATAAAATGTGACCATTACACCCCCTTTTCACTTTGGCGACAAAAAAAACAAACAAAAAAAAAGTACCTGCCTACAGGTATCTTCGCTCGTACAAACGCTTCTTCTAGTGGGCGAGGCGACAAACCATCCCCGCACCCAACGCTCGGCCCTTCTTCTCTGGCGGGGAGAACGCTCTCCTCTCACGCCTATGCAAAAGAGAAGTATCGACCTGTTTGTCAAAGTTAGATGTCAATCTACGATTTGGCTGAGTTGTATCGCACAACCTCAGGAAACCGTTCCTACGCTTGACATGGATATCACTCGGCGACGACCGATTATCCTTTCGACTTGCAACGGACATTTGGCGCTCGTTTTTAAGAGCACCCATCCTCCTTCTCTGATCGCGACTATCACTGTCCGTATCCTTCCGACCGTTCAACCGAAATAGCTTGCCGCTACGAATAATGTATTTATCGAAACTCCCGGGATTAACATTCACCTTGGTCCAAAGTTTATCGTACCATCTGTCTGTGCCACCAGATCGTTTATTCAACCTTTCTGGATCACTCCCTGGTGTTTTAGCGTCCGAGTTAACGCATACTTGAAGGGGACACACCGCTGTCTCGATGGAGGTATACTCGGCGACACCTTCTGCCGGTCGCGATAACGCACCAGCCACATTGTTGGCGGTACCTGTCTGGTACTGAGCCTCAACACCGTGCCGTTCGCTCACTCCATCAGCCGCGTCCGGTCTCGTATTCTCTACCTCCACGTGGTATGTCACCAAGTTCAGTCGCTCTAAGCTATCGATCCCGAGAACTATGTCACTGGTAAGCGAGGGAAGATACAGAGCATGGAACTCTTCCATTCGTCCTTTCAATAGACCTTTGAAGTGATAGGACTTGTGCGACTTCGAATAACTACCGTTGGCGAGTCTCACTACCATAGGAGTCAAAACAGACATAATTCCAGACTGTTCCAAGTGACGTGCCACCGCCGTGCCGATCAACGTGACTACGGCACCTGTATCTATTAGCGCGGCGAACTCTCGCCCTGCTATCGTCACCGATACGTGCGGTCGTCTGTCGTTAGTCTGAATCTGAGCGTTCTCGGTTTCCGGGAATTTCTTAATTTTCTCTAACCAAGCGCACCAGTCCGGGGAGGTCTTCGTAGAAGGCACTACTGAGGATTCAGTTGACCTCATTTGGTAATTTTCTCGACACCGACAATCATGGGTTCGGATACCCATCTTTTTACAATAGAAACACTTTAGAGTTCTTGGCATACGGCAGTCACGAAACATGTGGCCTTTCTTGTCACAGTTCCAACATGTGAGATATGATTTTTCTCTCATGTTATTCGGCCATCGCGAAACTGCATTGTTTTCTCGGGGTGAACCTCCGCGCTCACGCTCCGAGTTACGTCGTGGTTTTGTAGATGACGAAGTCCTCGTAAAA